AAGTTCTTACAGCACAGTTTGTTTACTTTATAAGTTTTTAGCTCCTGCTCTGTTAATTGAACTTTACTCATACACAGGAGCTTATTGCAGGCAATTAATAGAGCAAGCTTCCAAATTAAACTTCTAAATAAAAGGAACACTAAAAATGTTTGGAATAAAAACCTGTATTCCTTATGTTTTAGTGTCCCTAGTTATAGAGCCTCCAACCCCCACCTGATGTGCATCTGTCAGGATTACTGTAGATGCCTAACACGCAGAACTTAAGTAGATATAAAGTAAATACCTAAGACGTATTACCAGGCCTTAGAATGGCTAGATTTAACATATAAAAGGCAAAAGACACAAGACAGGGAAAAGCAAAGACAAAGGATAACACATACGATAAACAAGCCAAAGGTCAACAAATGGAGATATCAGAATAGTCAGGAGCCAAGCCAAAAGTCAAGGAATACAGAGATCGAATAGTCAATAAGGAAAGCCAAGGTCAGATACACAAGAAATCAATACAAGGAACGCGCTCTCGGATAACCAACTGGAAACCACAACAGGGCACTGAGAAATGGACAAACTAGGTTTAAATAGCTGAAGGCATTTCCTGATAGGCTGTAAGGAAACGTGTTTAAGTTGGTGTGTAACACACCCATATTACATTAATTGATCTAGCTTTTAAGGGTTTAACAGGAAACTCTATTATTCACAGCAGCAGCGGGGGGCACCCTTAATGGTACAGACCCGGCTGCTGAGAGAGGAGAGGTCACCGCTGGTGAGTGTTTGGCAGTATACCCCTTAGTTTGTGGGAATACCGCCGTAGTGATACGCGCCTGCTGGGACCTATGCTGCCCTCTGACAGGAGCAGCGCTGGCGGGCGACGTGACAGTACCCCCTCCCCAAAAACTGCCCACCGGGCGGGAAGGGGCCGGCTTAATCGGGAAACCGGGCATGAAAAACACGCAGCAAGTGAGCAGCATGAGCGTCGGGGGCAGGAACCCATGAACGCTCCTCCGGACCATAAGCCTTACAATGGATTAAATACTGCAACACACCCCTCGACCACCTGGCGTCTACAATCGCCTGGATCTCATACTCCTCCTGGCCATAAACTGACACAGGCGAAGGACGGAATGAGCGCCTAGTGTAGCGATTGCACAACAAAGGTTTAAGCAGGGATACATTAAACACATTGGGGATACGCAATGCCAGAGGTAGCGCCAAAGCATAAGACACCGGATTAATTTTCCTGGAGATCACATATGGGCCTATGAATCTGGGCGCTAACTTCATGGTTGGAACTTTCGACCGGATGTTGCGAGTGGAAAGCTAGACCTTATCTTCAACAACATAATAAGGTGCCATAGAGCAACGTTTGTCAGCATAGACCTTATGACGAGAGGAGGCCAAAGACAAGGCACGCTGCACGTGCTTCCACCTCTCTTGAAGGTCGTGGAGGTGGCAATCAAGAGCAGGTAAACTAGTCTCACGAAACTGCGAGGGTACAACAAGAGGATGTCTACCACTAGTGATGTAAAAAGGACTATGCTGGGAAGAATCATGAGTAGTGTTGTTATGCGCAAATTCAGCATAAGACAAGAGATCGTACCAGTTGTCATGATTGTGTGATATGAAACATCTAAAAAATTCCTCTATTGACTGGTTAACCCTTTCAGAGCCCCGTTGGTCTGGGGGTGATTTTAGGAAGAAAAAGACAATGTAACTCCAAGTTCAGAACAAAACCTCCTTCAAAATCTAGAAATGAATTGAGTCCCTCGATCTGACACTATTTCTTGAGTTAACCCATGTAACCTGTATATCTCCCGAATGAAGATCTTAGCTAATTCAGCTGAGGTGGGGAGCTTATGAAGAGGGATTAAATGAACCATTTTCGAGAAACGATCTACCACCGTTAACCCCTTAAGGACACATGACGGAAATATTCTGTCATGATTCCCTTTTATTCCAGAAGCTGTGTCTTTAAGGAGTTAAAATGGTAGTATACCTCTTGGATGGAGGTAGATCGACTACGAAATCCATAGCAATGTGGGACCAAGGCGTTTCAGGAACAGGAAGTGGCTGTAAGAGACCACATGGTAGTTTAGGAGGGGTTTTGGTTACAGCGCAAACGGTACGTGCTTGGACATAATCAGTGACATCCGTATGCAAAGAAGGCCACCAAAACTGTCTTGATATGGAAGACGAGATTTTTCGAATACCTGGATGGTCGGCTGACTTGGTGTCATGGTACAAGGAGAGTATTTCTGTCCTCTCTGTAGGTGACAAACCTTTATCGTTGGGTTTGTTGTCAGGAGTCTGGGTTTGAGCAAGAGCATCCTGGATATATTCTTCCATAATTTTGTTCTCATGGGGGGGATAGAGGAAACACCCTTCCCTTTGGCGGCATAGTGCCTGGTAGAAGGTCTATGGCACAATCATAAGGCCGGTGCGAGGGTAGCGTCTCGGCATGGTCTTTGTTGAATACCTCCTTAACATGGATGTATTGCGGAGGGATCACTGTGGATAAGGGGGCCGCAGTGGGTACATTAATGTGACCTACAGGCTTAACAGAAAACAGACACTGATCTTTACAAGTTGTACCCCATGACTGGATCTCACCCTTAATGCAATTTAAGACCGGATTGTGTCTCACCAACCAGGGAAACCCAAGAATGACAGGACATGAAGGACTTGAAATAACTTGTAGAACTAGATTTTCCCTATGTAGTATTCCAACGGACAGGGATAACGGAAGGGTCTCATGGGTTATATGAGGAGTCAGAAGGGATGCGAAAATCAAATTCAGCATGCAGAACGTCCATAAGAAAGCATTGAGAAATGCTTTCCTATGGGCTGTTTGAATGCCGCACATGTGCATTTCGCTCCACTCGGGAGCTGACGTCGGCGGGGGAGGAGAGGTCACTAGCGCCGAGGAAGCCCGGCACTGGATAAAGGTAAGTGGCTGAAGGGGTTTTAACCTCTATAGCCCAGCGGGAGGGGGACCCTGAGGGTGGGGACCTAAGGATTATATAGTGCCAGGAAAACGAGTTTGTTTTCCTGACACTATAGTGATCCTTTAACAGTGCAATCTATACACGATCTAAAGCCTCCTTTGCAAATCAGTGTACGAACAGTATACTATGTGCACCTATCGGAGAACCCTCCAATATTAATACTGTTGTCTAATAGGTCTATAATATACCTTTAGAACACACATGAAGATTAAACACTGTATTTGCTTATACTTTGCTTCCCAGTGTAGTTTGAAATCAGAGTTATGCCCTTTGTGACTCTTTAAATGTTACATAATCATGGCAGCTGTCAATTTATTTCTGGTTTTAAACTCGCCCTACATTTCATCTATTGCCTGGAAGAGCTTTCAAATCCTTTGCCAGAGGTTTCAGAGGATAATTTATTATGAAGACTACTATCACACTAAACCTTTACATTTAGCAGCATGCAATAGGAGTTATGGAATTATATTAACATATTACATGACATAAAATAACGTGCTGCCCTTTCTAATTGTTTTTACTTTTATAATCAAGTTGTTTATCTCGGCTGTTTTTAATGCTCATTAACACTCCACCATGAAACAATGTCCAAGGTCAGGAAATCTCCATGACATTTTGTGACATCAAGGAAAGAATTGAGTTACAGCACTGGACAGTGTACAGGACTGCTTCCATTTCATAATATAATTAGGTGATCTGTAATTCAGATGAAAATTCATCATTCATGAAAGAGTAACTTAATCAGTGTCAATTTACAAATATATTTTAGAATGAAAAAAAAAAAAAAAAAAGTAATTATTTTATAATAAAAAAAAAAAGACAATATTTTAGTTTTACCAGCACCAACAGTGGAGGTGGCTGGCATCTAATTCCCTGCAAGAATAAGAAAAAAAAAAAAAAAAAAAGTATAAAAATAAAATCTCTCTAATATGCACTACATCAAAAAGTTTAGAGGGACACTATAGTCACCACTACTACAGCTTATTGTATTTGTTCTGGTGAGTATAATCATTTCCTTCATGCTTTTTGAAGTAAACAAAGAATGGGGTAGGGCTGCGCCAATAAAAAGTTAAATAGTCCCAAATATAAAGTCTCATTGAAGCAGCAGAAGATCAGGGATAGTTGGTAAAATGTAGATACATGAACTCTTCAGTATAAATGGGTGCGTCTGAGTATCTCAGGATGTTCATACACACACACACACACACACACATATATACATACACACACACACATACAAAAGAGACAGAGGTGACCAATAGTGCAATAAGTCTAAAATCCAAGATAAAATATGGTAAGAGGTAGAGAACTCACATTTAAAAGGGCTATTGCCAGATAGAGCAGTGTTTCTGCTCTATACTTGTGAGTATAATTTTATCTAACTTTTATTAAATTTTATCACAATTGAGAGCACTATTGTTGCCTTATTATTCCCTTTTGGAGCCTTAGAAAACTGGACGGTGTGGACAGACGCACTCTTTCTACATATCCCATAAGCAGGGATTATACCGCTGTACGCCCTTCATACCAGAGCTGACCATAGCTCTTATAAGGGAGAGTTCTCTACCTCTACTACCATATTTTATTTTGGATATAGAGATATATAAAAACCAAAGAAAAGAAAAAGTTATCTGTGCTCTTTCCTTAATCCCTATGTATATTTAGACAAATGGAGGTCATTTAGTTGCTCCAATGGCCATTGGAGGGAATGCCCGCCTGCCAACGTCAAGGCAGACCCCCCTAAGCGGGTCCTAACACTGACCCTTCAGCCTGCTTCCTTGAGCTTCTGGCAAAGATATCTCTAATGAGACAGAGAGGGGTATTTTTTATATACACCCCTATATACTTATTAACCCTTAATAGGGAACACATGGGTTGGGCGGCAGCATTGTAACAAGGCTGTGTGATACAAAGTAAATACAAATACAAAAAGAGAAGTCCTGCGCTCACTCCCATCACTACTGGGCCGGTAGTGATGGGAGTGAACTGAGGACTTCTTTGTGTGTGTGTGTGTGTGTGTGTGTGTGTATATACTATAAATGTGTTTTATATATACACACACACACACACACACACACACACACACACACACACACATATACATACACACATCCTGAGATACTCAGACACACCCATTTATACTAAAGAGTTCATGTAGCTACATTTTACCAAGTATCCCTGATCTTCTACTGTTGCTTCAGTGAGACTTTATATTTGGGACTATTTAACTTTAATTGGCACAGCCCTACCCCATTCTTTGTGTATTGATCTTATTTTTTGAAGGGTTTGAGGGGTTCCCTTCATTAAGGTTTCTGCCTTATCACATATTGTCTATTAATTAGCGCTGAGCTACAGTTTTTTTTTTTTCAGTAAACACAGTCTTTTCAGAGAAAATTTAATGTTTACATTACAGCCTAGGGATAGCTCCACTGGCCACTCCTCATACGGTTGCTAGAGGTGTTTCCTGGGGCATCTCTATGAGAAGATGCGGATTGGCCACAAACGTGTTTAGCTTGTGCTGGCCCTGCCCCTGATCTGCCTCCTTGACAATCTCAGCCAATCCAATGCTTTCCTATAAAAGCATTGTTATTGGCTTTTAACAACACTTCTGATGAGGTCATCCAAGCAGGTAGATCAGGGGCAAAGCCAGCAACAGACTGAAATAAAAATAAAAAAAATTCTATATTTGGGGGACAAGAGGGGAGTTAGATGGTGTACAGGTTTGTTTTGTTTCTGACCCTATAGTGTTCCTTTCACTCTAAAATGTACCCTCAAGGAACAGATTGTACCTCCTGTTATTTTCTGTGCATAGTTCTACATTGGGCTATTGCACTAACCAAGAAAGAGTACAACCTTACCCATATCATTCAAGTGTCCTATTTAGGTGGGAGTCCCTATTATGAGCCTGAATACTTATGTGTCATTTTCTATCCCAATGTCCCTCTTCCTGGAACACCAGTTTGTTGATGTGTTTGAGTTAAAAAAAAAATAGTTTGAAGGCAATAAATTGGAGAGCAACAGGTCGTTTAATTACTATAAATGTGTTTTAACTGTAGTCCATGTAAAGAAAATCATTTGGTCTGCTTCTAAATTATATTTTCAGTTACACAAAGCTTCATTAGCAGGTCTGTGTTCCTGAATGCATCTAGCTACACCGTGATGGTTATTCTAAATGTCAAGTCTTTTTTTTTTTATTGGCATTCTTTTCAGATTCTGTAGTTTGATTTTTGGCAACAGTGCACTGCATATTATTGAGCACATGCAAATAAAAAATAAAATTAAAACATTTTAAAAAACCTTAGGTGTTTCTTTGCTCAGAATTCTCAGGTGCGCTCTTTTTACCATATAGCAAAATGAGGTAACTATGTAAAATGTAAAAAGGGTAAGGAAAAAACAACAAACACATTTGTATGAAGAAGAGGTAGCCTTAGGCATGCAGGCACATGTAGCCTACTGAAATGTTAAGCCCTGGCATTAAGGTATGTAGATAGATGATATATTTAGGGCCATTAGTTTGTTCAGATATATTTTAGTTTCTTAAAATTAAACTCACTTTTTCCATAACAGAGTGCTTTTAGAAAAAAAAAAAAAAAACTATTTGTGGTCCCAGCTGTCACATTTCCAGCACAATAATTAAGTGCTAATTTGGGTGCTTTGTCATAAAGCCACAGTGTTTGTTCTATGTAAACAGCTATTTTTCCATTTGATCAATTTGGATTCAGCTAAATGCATTGAATTAGTAATGTGCAATTCTGCAGAATAAGAATTCAGTGCAATATTTTTATAGAATGTTGGTTTTAAAAACACAACATAGCAATAGCTTTGGGAAAAACAGAAGGGCTGTGTGGGAGGAGAGGGAAAAGACTAACTCACAGCCTGGAAACTGACCTTTAATAATAAAGGGTCTACAAACCAAACCCAGGAAAGTGTAGAATAATTTCACAAGTCTACAAATATAACAGATTTGTAAAGTGACATATGTGTCACTGTAGTAGTAATACACTTGTGTGTCAAGTTAGGTACTCAAGATACCCAATGCTGCCAGAGCTTTGAGATTAGTGATGGTTAGTCAAAGAGGAATGCAAGTATTATCCCGATATCCTTTAACCCCTTAAGGACACATGACATGTGTGACATGTCATGATTCCCTTTTATTCCAGAAGTTTGGTCCTTAAGGGGTTAAACACACCACTGAGCACTCCATGCAAAAGTCCAGTGACCTGCCACTCGTCGTTTGTTCCACTCTTCTCTAAAATATGTGCATGACTGATCTGAAAAGAAACATGAAATCAAACAACTGCTGTGGGATTTGTTGAGAGAATGGTAGGGTCCTCAGCACATTCTTGGTCCTGAAGAAGCTGTAGGTCTGCAGCAAACTCAGAGTAAAAGGAACAATCTACCAAAGACTATAGTGGGTGTAGCGGATGGCACTGGCCTGTCCTGAGAATTACATGTGTTTGAATGTATTCGTGTAAAATAGCAAAGTTATATGTGTTAAATGAATTGTATTCGTCTGAATGTTAGGTAGTTTATTCCCTTAGTTTGTTCGAATGAAACTACCGAACAGTCAGACCTCCCCTGTGTGAAGTGTGCCTTCAATTACCCGTTGCAACATTGTTGCGAACGGGTAATTGACAAGCTAAGTAGCAGTCCTTTGTTCTCGCGGGTGGCCGCCATTCGGGAAACGAACACGTGGCGGCGGCCTTTTCAAAACTCCCGAACAGCGGTGTTTTGCCATCGAGTGTCTGGAACTCAAATCGGACACTCGACTAGGCGAACACCGCCAAGACCTCCACAAGCCCGGTCCGTTCCAAACTACCGAACGGCCCCTCGTTCAGTAGATAGAAACAACCGAACAAGGGGATTCAGGCGAACCCTCCCTAGTCTCTGTAGCTAGAGGCTTTCGTGCAGTTTATTCCCTTACTCCAGGACTGACCGCAGGGCCCCATCACATGGAACCCCATTTGGATGTTCTCTCCAGTGCGGTCGGTCATTTTATTCCCTCCATAAATTTCCCAAACCCCTGGTCTGATCTGGGTGATTTTTGGATATGTTGTTCACCCAGATCAGGGCTATCAGGGGATGTATAATTTAAAGTGGTACCCCTAAGTTTAGGGGTACATCCAGAAACGGGGGGAATTGGTGTCCTGGATAAGGGGATTATGATGCAGGCTGAGGGGAGGAGATGTGTGGGAGGTTACCAGAGCAGGATTGGCTACTGTACAAATTAATGAACATCCCTCCCTTGCATGGGAGCAGGCTTTATAAGGCCACTGTGTGAATAAATCTTTAGTTCTGCTCAGGCCCGGACTGGCCATCGGGCATACCGGGCAAATGCCCGGTGGGCCGCGATGGCCGTGGGGCCGAGGCCGGCAGGGAGATCACAGGATCTCCCCGGCCGGCCCCTGCAGGGTCAGCGCTACCCGAGCGCCGGCCCTGCTATGTGAATCCATGGGCCGGTGGGGAGATCAAAGATCTCCCTCACCGGCCCACAGACAGGGAGATGCGGCCGCCGGCTGGATGAGGGAGGGAGGCAGGGAGGAGAGAGGACCGGCGGAGCTCTATCCAGCAGCTCCGCCGGGTCCTCTCGCGGGATTCTGAGCGTTGCCGCGGCAACGCTCAGATCTCGCGAGAGTGAACTCTAACCTGCAGGTTAGAGTTCACTCTCACCACTGGACCACCAGGGAAGGCAGCATGGCTCCCCCTCAAGGCACCCCTGGCAAAACGGATCTCTTCCCTCCCCCCCCTCCCAGGATAAAGGTAAGAAGGGAGGGGGGGGGGATATATATATTTTTTATTAATAAAATAAATATTTAAATTTAAATAAAAAATACATTCACACTCTCACACACACAGCACCCCCAGACACACACAGCACCCCTATACACAGCACCCAGACACACACAGCACCCAGACACAGCACCCAGACACACACAGCACCCCCCAGACACACACAGCACCCCCAGACACACACAGCACCCAGACACACACAGCACCCCAGACACACACAGCACCCAGACACACACAGCACCCTCAGACACACACACAGCACCCCAGCACACACACACAGCACCCCCAGACACACACAGCAACTCCAGACACACACAGCACCCCCAGACACACACACAGCAACCCCAGACACACACAGCACCCCAGACACACACAGCACCCCCAACACACACAGCACCCAGACACACACAGGCACCCAGACACACACAGCACCCCAGACACACACCCAGACACAGCACCCCAGACACACACAGCACCCCAGACACACACAGCACCCCAGACACACACAGCCCACCCAGACACACACAGCCCACCCAGACACACACAGCAGACACACACAGACACACACCCAGACACACAGCACCCAGACACACACAGCACCCAGACACACACAGCACCCAGACAGACACACACAGCACCCCAGACACACACAGCACCCCTGATATATATATATATATATATATTTTTTATTAATAAAATAAATATTTAAATTTAAATAAAAATACATTCACACCACACACACACACAGCGCACCCAGACACACACAGCACCCCCAGACACACACAGCACCCCCACACACACAGCACCCCCAGACACACACAGTACCCCCAGACACAGCACCCAAACTCACACTGCACCCCCATACACACACAGCACCCCCAGACACACACACAGCACCCTCACTCACACTGCACCCCCAGACACACAGCACACTCCCACACATATACAGCACACATTTATATATATATATATATATATATATATATATATATAAAATAACCCTCAGTGAGTTAAGAAAATTAGAAACCTAGAATGTGACAGCAGATAAAAACACCCTCACACACAGCACCCCTCTTACATACACACACTGCGCCCTCACACATACAATAAGTCCAAATATATATATATATACACATACACACACACACACACACACACACACTACAGCACCCCTCACACTGCACCACTACACACATTACGCTCCAGATAACACTAGATCCCTTACCCTATATGCACTCTTAATCCTCTACACACACACACACACACACACACACACTGGGTCCTTTACACAGTAGATCTCCT